ATATATATATATATATATATATATATATATATAAATGTATATTTTGTTATTAATTGCACTGTCTAATACATGAAATTATAATCGCTTAATTAATATAATGTAAAAAAAGTGCAAAGATAATATTAAAACAAATACATAATTAAATAGGTCTTCTCCTTGGATTCAGCTGAAACATTTGCTTGCTTTTATAATGCTTCCTTTTCCAACTTGAGAACAGCCAATATGGAAAGAATAGCTGAACAGATCGCGACACTTTGTGCTACTCTTGGAGAATATCCATCAGTTAGATATCGAAGGTATAATATAATATAATATTTTCTATTCATTTAAATTGAAATAATAATTAAAATTTTATCTAATAATACAACTTATTATAGAGTTATAATATAATTTATTTTTATAGCGATTTTGATCGAAATTTGGAATTGGCACATATGGTTCAACAAAAATTAGATGCTTACAAAGCAGATGAACCGACGATGGGTGAAGGACCTGAAAAAGCACGCTCTCAATTGCTTATTCTAGACAGAGGATTTGACTGTGTTTCACCGTTGTTACACGAATTAACGTTACAAGCTATGGCATATGATTTATTAGATATTGAGAATGATGTTTACAGGTAAGAATTACAATAATTATAAATAATATCAAATTATATTTTAATTTTAACATTAAAAATTTGTTATAAGATTTGAGGCATCTGCAGGAGTACAAAAGGAAGTATTATTAGATGAAAATGACGATTTATGGGTAGATCTTAGACATCAGCATATTGCTGTAGTTTCACAGTGAGTAGAATAATTTAAAAATTCATAAAAAAAATTAATAGAAATAAGAATTCTATTAATAAAAATAAGTAATTTAAAAAAAATGCAAATATATGTTCATAATATATATTTTTTTTAGGAATGTTACTAAAAATTTAAAGAAATTCACAGAATCAAAAAGAATGCCACAAGGAGACAAACAAAGTATGAGGGACCTTTCACAGATGATTAAAAAAATGCCACAATATCAAAAAGAATTAAGTAAATATGCAACACATTTACAATTAGCAGAAGATTGTATGAAACGTTACCAAGGAAATGTAGATAAACTATGCAAAGTAGAGCAAGTATGTTTTACGTAATTTTATCTTTTTTAAACGTTATCATTTATTAATTCATTTATTAAGTGTCATATGCATTATCATTTTACTAGGATTTAGCGATGGGTACAGATGCTGAAGGAGAACGTATCAAAGATCAAATGAAAAATATTACTCCAATTTTACTTGACCAAACTGTACATCATTTAGACAAATTACGAATTATTGCATTATATGTTATTAGTAAAAATGGTATTTCTGAAGAAAATCTTAATCGTCTTGTTCATCATGCTCAAATATCTCCTGATGATAAACAAACTATAGTAAACATGGCCAATCTTGGTATTAACATAGTTGTAGATGTAAATATCTTATTTTATCAATTATTAATAATGCATATATGTTACGAACATATAATTCTAAAATTTATTTTATCGTATTTATTTATAGGGTGGCAATCGTAAAAAATTATATACCGTACAACGTAAAGAAAGAATTACAGAACAAACTTATCAAATGAGTCGTTGGACTCCAGTTATGAAAGATATTATGGAAGACGCTATTGAAGATAAACTGGATTCTAAACATTTTCCTTTTTTGGCTGGACGAGCAGCAAGTTCGGGATATCATGCTCCAACTAGGTATAATAGTATAAAAATTTATACAAATAACATTTTATAATTTTAATAAACATAACATAATACATTATACATAAAATACATAAAAATAACATTATATTATTTTTTAGTGCGAGATATGGACATTGGCATAAAGACAAAGGTTCACAAACTATTAAGAACGTTCCAAGATTAATCGTTTTTGTCGTTGGAGGTGCTTGCTTTTCTGAAATTCGATGCGCTTACGAAGTTACAAACGCTTTAAAAAATTGGGAAGTCATAATTGGTAAGTCATATATTAAAAATTTATCGTGTATATAATTGAATTTGTTTTAATATTACATTATTATTTCACTTTAGGTTCGTCGCACATAATTACACCGAAATCCTTCTTAGATGATCTAAGTAAACTTCACGTATAAAAAAAAAATGTTTATGTTGTAAAAAAAAATAAAAACATTCCCGTATTCCTAATATGCCATTAGCTTTGGCTCCGTTAATAATATCAGCTACGAAGTTTTGTGGATGATCTCGAAGTATAATTAATATAAAATAAGGAACACTCAGTCAATTGTTAAAGTCGCCTAGTTAATTAGCGGCTAATTAAAAACATTGGGAAATGTCATATCATAAACATCATTTGGCTAGAATATAATAGCGCCAGAAGAAAAAGATATCCGGTGTTAAGTGCCTGCGCGAATAAAAAATTAATACGGAAGGAATAAACATGTTGGCAATATTAATGAAAATCGTACAGAGGTGCTTAATAGTAATTTAGGCTCGCGAATGATCTAGCTCAAATATCATATGTTATCCTATGCCATATTATCCCTTTGTTAAAAATAAGCGACGCGTTTAGCAAAAAGAAATTGATGTATTGTAGTAGAAAATCGTGATATTCGTGTAAATTTCTCGTTATTATTAATATTTCGTTATCTCCCGCTCCAAAAATTATCGATTGTTACACTATGATAAAGAATATTTAGCGTAGAGATTTCGCTTGCGAAATCACTATTATCGCTTCTTTAATTCACATAAGAATTGAATATCGTATAGCATGATTATACGTAATTGTATTAATTTCAGCAAGTATAGTTTAGTAAAAAAAAAAATAGATAAAATTAATATTTATTTTACAAATCGTTTAAAGTTATTTAAATATGTTTAAAAGATGCAAATATTTAAATATCTTATTGTATAATAAAACGATAGATGTATATTTAATTATTCGTTATATATACTTTATTATATTATCAATTTGTTGCTAAATAAGTGCATTTGAATAGCGTACAGATATGTATTAAATTATATATAATGCATATGCCGCTTTTAGCTCACCTTAAAGCGGGCATTTATATCAATTTAAGAACTGTCCGATTACAAAAGACTTACACTTGTTTCATTCGAAATAATATCTTTAATATATTGATAAGTACTTACACGTTGAAACTTCTGCTGTATATATACGAAGCAATTGTACATCGCTTTCGATTGGTGGAAGTTAATCTGTTAATGATCGTAATGATTATTGATATGTGTTAATAATATTGTGATTACTTAGCGGCGAGATTATTACAAAGTTTACGGTATTGATTATTACATAATATATTATATGAGTACATATATGTATGTAGATTGTAGTTTAAACAAAATGTTCTGCTTATAAAGGCCTACAATTCGCTCCAATTTTGTTCTTTTTTTACGCAATCACCATACCACATTAAATAGAGATACGATTTTATTTGATTTGAATACATTGCCAATTAAAATTTACGTAAAAATTAACTCATTTTATATTATTATTATGAAAATCATTCGTGGGTTATCATTAATCATGGGTCAACAAGCGGAGTTATATATATATATATGAGATCCAGCAATCGATTTACAAAATTAATATTATCATATTGTCTTTAAATTCCGATTGCATCGAGAGTTTAAAAAAATGTCCGAAACAGCGAAGAAAGTTGTTCTAGCTTATAGCGGTGGTTTGGACACATCATGCATATTATTATGGTTGAAAGAAAAGGGATATCAAGTTATAGCTTATATGGTAAAATTATTTAATAGATAATTATTATTATTTTTTTAAATAAAAAAATAAAAAAATATAAAAAAATCTCGATCTAGGCAAACATTGGACAAGAAGAAGATTTTGACGCCGCTAGAAAAAAAGCGTTAAAAATTGGTGCTACGAAGGTGATAAAAAATTTTTATTGATTTACAGATATCTTGTCTTAAATCGCGTTGATAATTCTACTAATTCTCATATTTTTAGTTATAATTAATCTTTTGAAGAATAAAACAATCTTTTCTAACTTTTTTATTTACTTATCAGCGATTTAATTATTTAAAAGGTAGTAATAGAAAATCTTAGAGAAGTTTTTCTATCATCATTTGTATGGCCAGCCATTGCATGCGGACTTATTTACGAAGATAGATATCTTTTGGGTACGGCAATCGCTCGGCCATGCATCAGCGAAGGTCTTATAAGACTTGCAAGAGATGAAAATGCATGTATAATCGCTCATGGTGCGACAGGAAAAGGTAATGATCAAGTTCGTTTTGAGCTGAACTGTTACAGCCTTTATCCAGATATCCAGGTATTTTGATTTTATATTTTTCACGTATATTCCTTTTATACTTTATATAATCAATCTCTTTACTTTATCATTTACTACAGATACTCGCACCTTGGAGGGAGAAAGAATTTTACACAAGATTTTCAGGAAGATCGGATTTGTTGAAGTATGCACAACAGAACGATATTCCTATTTCAATAACACCAAAAGAACCATGGAGTACCGATGCGAATCTATTACACGTTAGGTATATTTGAAATGATATATAGTTTTAATTTTTAATTTTAATCGAATAAAAAAATACGCAATATAGAAAATTAGTATATAAATAATAAATATATTCTTAGTTATGAATCGGGTATTTTGGAAAATCCAAATGCATTAGCCCCGAAACAAATATATAGAATGACATGTGATCCATTGTGTTCTCCAATGGAACCGGAAGAGATTGAAATCAATTTTGAGCAAGGATATCCGTCGTCCGTCAAACAATTAAAAAATAATGAAACGTTTCTCACTCCGCTTAAAATAATGCAATATTTAAATGAAATTGGTAATCTACATGGTATAGGACGTATCGACATTGTCGAGAATCGTTTTATTGGTTTGAAAGTAAGTAATAAATAGAAATTATTAAATATATTTAGAATTATTAAAAATTATTAATATTTCAGTCTAGAGGAATTTACGAATCGCCGGGAGCAACGATTCTATATAAAGCACATCAAGATTTAGAGATTTTTATATTAGATCGTGAGGTTTTAAGAGTAAAATCTTATTTGGCTAACAAAATGTCCGATTATGTCTATAATGGTAAAAAAATTATTAAGAATTGTTAACTAATAACTAATAATTTTGTAAAATGCTTAAAAATAGGCTTAATAATGTTTATTAGGTTTCTGGTTTTCTCCCGAATTTGATTTCGTACGGAATAGCATATTATATTCTCAAAAATACGTAAATGGGACAGTTCGATTGCAATTGTATAAGGGAAATGGTTAGTATTAATGAAATCAATTTTTTTAAAACAAATACTCATTATTTTGAACTTACAGTATCTGTACTTAGTCGACATAGCAAAACTTCTTTATACAATCAAAATTTAGTTTCAATGGATGTACAAGGAGATTTCGAACCGAAAGACGTGGGTGGTTTCATTCGGACACAAGCTTACAGATTGAAAGAATTTAATCGCTTCAAAAAACAATGTGATATCTAAATTCATTTATTAACATTATAATATATAATAAATTATAATATATTAAAATGTATTAAAATATATAATATTTTATGAAAACAATATATTAATTAAATCTAAAAATTTTATTATATACAATTTAAAAAGAAAATAAATTTGCGTGTAATTGTTTATAAAATATTGAAACGAATTTAATTATTGAGTATCAATTTTAAGATAGTTTTTATTTCAATTAAATTTTATGTTATAAATTTTACATTTGAATCGTTCCAAGAGGTAAGGTCAATAAAAAATACAAGTACAATTAATTTACTTTCAATTACTTATTAATAATTAAACCTTAAGATAATTAGCATATTTGTAAAGATTATAATAACGTGTAATATGCATTGTTTTATCTGTATTAATATTATATACAATATTTCTTATCCAATCTAATAGATCCGCAACATAAGAGAAAACGTCAAACATGAGAATATGTATTTCAATTTAGTATCTCTTCTATCGATGACTATGTAACACTTTCACTCTGTTTCTTTCTCTCTCTCTATTCATATTTATATATTTATATTTTTTATATATAACATGCAAAATATTATAAACTAAGAAAGGTAATTTTGTATATATATATATATATATATCTATAATTAATAACCTGCAGCTTTATTATATAACATTATATTCACATTTGCCTCGTAACATTAATTGAAATAAGTGTCTCTTTTCTTATTTATTTATAGATATTAATAAGAAAACAGACGATATAGTTCAATTTGATATTGTTAAGTAAATAGAGATGATAGAATGAATCAACATTTTTCAACACGTATTGTTACATTTCCGAGTTTGTAAAAATAATGAAAAATTATGAATTAAATTGGTATTAAATTGATGTTTTTAATAACATTAAAAAAAATATATATATATATAAATATATAAATATATATATATTGAACTGCATTTGTAACGATGCATCAATACAAAAAAGTCACGTTAGAAATCCAATAATTTTTTTATTTGCATTCTTTGGATATAAACAACATAAAAAATTATAAATTATTCTTTTGGATAAAAATGATTTAATGGAAGTCAGGGGTAAGCGTGCGAACAAACTTGGCTCAGTAAACAACGTCCTCTCTTACTTAACAACATCAAGCATTTCTTTATTTTAGCCATTTATTCTTCATTTCATCATTATTATTTATGTACAACCAGCTTAATGTCTTGCTATCGTTAGTCGTAATAAGTCTACTAAAACTCATGTGCCATTGGAGATGATGTGCGCCCGTGGGAACTTATATAAAAAATTATTTTTTTGATACAGCGGAGTGATTTTGGTGTTACTTACGAATTATTACGATCTTTACCTAGTAACTTATACTGAGATCTAGTAGGTTATACAATCTATCGGCCTCCCTTAAATATTACAAACCTTATCACATATATAGAGGTGTGTATTAGTACTTATTACTTTTTATACATAGATATTTGTATTCTGTTTAAATTGCTGCCAATGATTTCTTCTCGTATGTACAATTACAAACCACGTATTATACAATCATAATACCTAGTACACACATTCCTTCTTGCTCTCTCTTCCATTCTCACTTTCATTCCTATTTCCATCTTTTCTCTTACGCTCCCTCTCTTATTCGCTTTCTCTTTATCAAACTCACTCTCTTCTTTAATTCTTTCTTCTTAATATTTTTTTTCTTTGTTTTAGAATTCGTGTCACTATTGAGCTCGTTATTTTAACACGACGCAATTTCATAATCAGAGGAATTCTTTCATTCGAAGACACTTGCGATTGGTCAGTCTAATGGTACAATATAGACAATAATCGAGCAAAAACAATTAAAATCGTGGAATTGCTTTGTCGATTAATAAAGAATTTTTCATTTCTGAGCATCGTTTTCTAATAATGTGATATGTCAGAATTTTTCATTTCTGATATATCGTTTTATATTACTAACTACGCTCAGGACACGAAAAATTAAACAAATAGAAAAATAACACATGCAGAATGTCGTTAAAAGCATTCGCTGGAAGATAAACACGTACTGATTGTACATGAAAATATTTAAATCATTATAAACGATTTTCCCTTCATAAAAAATCATTTCAATTCATTGTATGATATTTTTGAATAGAGAAAATCGATTACGTTTAACATGATGTCACATTTCAATGTTCTTTTTTT